AACTCAGCTCCTTAATCAAGTCACTGTTCCTGAAATAAAGGTTCTACATAAAAACACGTGAAAGAAGATAGTTCTAGGAAAGAAAGAAAAAATTAAAGACTGTTTAATTCATCATGGAATCAAGACATAGGGAATTACAGTTTTGGCAATATTTGTTAAATATATTAGTATATTTGCTTAGATTAGTATTTTCATACATTATTATTTTAAAACTTTACATCAAGGAAAAGATGAGACTCTTTGGTATTGAGCCACAGGGTCATTTTCTTAAATGTCAGTGATTCCTTTTTGTGACATACTTTACATCTGGATTTCATTTTATTTCTACATACATCCAAAACAAGTCTCTAATGCCATTACCACACAGTTAGAAAATCTTCACACGCTCAAAGCAAACTATGCTGTGTCCTATCATGTCAGATTTTTGGCCAAGAAAACACTCAAACTTTAGATGGATGGTGTAACTTCAGAAGGAAAATAATGTGTATTTATACTCTGCACACGTACATTAACTTTCACAGAATGGCTTATCCTTCAAACATACACATTTTAATGTTTTTGCACTGACAGACAAAAGTAGGAAAAATTTATGTTATGGAACAAAAACTAAAAAAATCTATTGGAGCTAAATACCACTCTGTTGTATGATATTCTCTTGAAGCCAATTCTCTACTGTATACAACTCCTTCCCATTCACAGACACCCTTACTCCTTTGTACATAAATGAAAAAAACCTTCTTTAAATGTTATCTTTCATGGAAATGCAAAAGCATCATGAGCCTCTAGAGGTCAGTGCCAGCCAGATGAAAACAGATTTTAAGTTAGGGCTCAGAAGAATCAATCAGCCCCAGTCCCTTCCTGAACAGGCTCTACAGTTTTTCCACCTTTGATGTATTTCTCAACCCTCTCCACTCACAATGCAGAAGTTCAGTGAGGATGAAAACACTGTCACAGACTTTCTAGGAAACAATGAAAGCTACACATGGTCCTTCCTTATGCCAACCTGGAAACACACACACACACACACACAAACACAAACTTTTTGCAGCACTGGGGACTGAATTCAACCCTTGCACATGCTTGCACACCCTACCACTGGGCTACATCCCCACTTTAAATTTTGAGACAGGTCTTGATAAGTCGCTCAGGCAAGCCTCCAATTTACAATCCTCCTGACTTAGCCTCCCTACTTGGGATCACAGGTATATACCTGCTTAATATATATTTTTAACTTTCTTTTGTGTGTGTAACTAAATCTCAAAATAATCATGAATATTTAACACTCATTTATTTAACATTCACAAAGTTAGGGTAGAGTATTATCCATAATTCCATAAACTTGTTTCTTCAACATAGCTCAAAATATGGACTCAGTGGCCCTTTTTTTTCCAAATCATTTATGTGCTCACTTAGAGCAAAAGTGAGCAAAATGTGACATCATAAAATTTCAATGCCTATCTTTAAATATGCCCTTCATTCTAATATTTATGAAAAAATTTTTTACCTAAAAAGTATTCATCTGAATCAACAAAAGCATATGTGAGGTCAGTTTTCTGAGAGCCAAAGTAGTAAAGAATACTGAAGATCTTCTGAAAATAAACACACTAAAATAGGATCAGCAAACTCTTTCCATAAAGAGTCAAATAATAAATATTTTAGTTGGAATAGGCCATACTGTCTCCATGGTAACTATTCAGCTTTGCCAAGAGATAAATGAATGTGGCTGTGTTCCAATTAAAATTATTTACAGGACTAGGGTTGTGCCTCAGTGGGTTCGATCCTCTGCACCACATAAAAATAAAGATATTGTGTCCATCTACAACTAAAAAAATTATTTTAAAAAATTATTTACAAACTATGTGTCTGACTCTGGCAATCTGCCAATATATAAAAATACAGATCCTGTGTTATAATGGTGTGTATATGCACACCTTTGGTGCAAGGCTGACATAAAAAATGTCACTCTAAATGGTAGTTCTCCCACAATAATTTCTATTTGGCCAGAAAGATGAAATATCACCTACATTTAAGGGGGAGGAGTATAAAAAAAAACTATGTTCACTAAATAAAATTATATTTTGAAATGAAAATTTATCTCTATTTCTAAGACCTAAGAAAGAAGACCTATTGAGGAGAAGAAAAAGAAAGCTAGACATGAGAAGCAAGGTGAAGAAATATTAACCCACAAATTATATTCTCAGATCTATTTGCAAAAGCTGGTAACGAACTGCAGATGAGACACATGTGTATGCTTAAGAAGCTTATGATACAGATGAAGAGCAAATATTTTTTGACTCTGAATTCCAAAACCATCCACATTAAATGCATATGGGATCACAAGCAGTTTTTTTCTCCTCCTGGTAATGGTGATCAAACCTAGGGCCTTCAGTATGCTTGGCATATACTCTACCACTGAGCTGTACCTTGGCCATATGAACACATTTTTAAAAGATGTTCAAAACGTAGGCTTCAAAATAAAAATATTTTTAATGAAGATTTACACTTTTAGAGAGACAAAAGACTAGATAAAATCATTAAGTCCAGAATATATTTTCTATTTTTTCTTCTTTCTATATCGAATTCTATATCCCCAGCAGTAACTATGGCCACTACATGGGCATAGACTTCTGAAAGAATTTATCAGAATCTTCTTGGAGAGTGAGGTGGGAGGTACCAAACTGGAAAAAATCTCAAGGTGATTATGATTCATCTACTTCTTTCTGCATCTTCCAATCCTCAATTTAAGATCTCTACTATATGTCATGATCTCTCAAAATACACTAAGACAAGTTTTTTCAGTGGCAGAAAAGAACCCTGAACTTTAAAATACGCCGAAAATAACAAATACTCTGTGCTTTTCTTCAACCTAGGCTTTAAGCTCAAAAGGTTAAGTTCATATAAGAGAAAACAAAAAATTATCAGGCTTGCAAGCAAAAATTAAGAAATGAGAAAAACCACACCTCCAGACCCAAGTCCACCCTTAACTAGGTAAGTGAGGTTACTTCAGTTAGGAATGACTACTAAGCAAAAAGTATAAGTATTTAAAGGGGAAAAATAAAAAGTACTAAATTTATTATATTATAATCTTAGGCCTGCTCCCAAATAGTTTTAAAACTATGACTGAACCTGTATTTAGTTCCTTTTTAAAACACTGCACCTATCCAGAAAAATTCTCCCATTACTCTTTTTTGGGAGAAAACATTATTTCTAGTATTTAAAAGAAGAAAAATAAATTATAATTCATTCTCTAGGACCAAGGAAATAAAAGACCAAAAACAAAAATAAGACCTAAAAATCAAAGACCAAGGAAATCAAAGATCTAAAATTAAAAAAAAAAAAATTTAAAAAAAACTTTAACTATAATTGTCAAGTACATAGGAAAGAGTAATGTTATGAATTTTAAAAGTTTAAGAACTGAAAGCCGGCACAGTGGCATACACCTGTAATCCCAGTGGCTTGGGAGGCTGAGGGAGGAGAATCACTGAGTTCAAAGCCAGCCTCAGCAAAAAGCGAGGCCCTAAGCAACTGAGACCTCGTCTCTAAATAAAATACAAAACAGGGCTGGGGATGTACCTCGGTGATCAAGTTGCCCGGAGTTCATTCCCCAGTACCCCAAAAAATAAAATAAAGAACTGAAAGACATTTCCCAAATATGGAAAAAAAAGTATTCCTAACTGGGAACTAACTATATTTAAGATTTTTCTCATTAGGAAAAAATATCAGAAGGTCTCCATTTAGTTTAAGCCACCATAGATAGTATATAAATGAGTGAGTTGACCTATGAACCAATAAAACTTCACAAACACGGGCAGTAGAGCAGACTTAATCAGTAGTTTTCTCTAAACAACCCTGTTTTTATATCTATGTAAGATTACCAACACATAAAAGAAAAACCACACACAATTATTTTACTTTTATCTCAGCAAAAGCGAAGCGCTAAGCAACTCAGCAAGACCCTATCTCTAAATAAAATACAAAATAGGGCTGAGGATGTGGCTCAGTTGTCAAGTGTCCCTGAGTTCAATCCCTGGTACCCACCCCTACCCCCCCAAAAAAAAGAGCTGAAAAGAAAGGGGAGAAAAGTCAGTATGTTTAACAAAACCTGTTTCTTAGACAATCACTTCATTTAGACTATCCATTTAACAAACATTTGCTCAGTATACATGCCCCCCCCCCCAAGATCTAATACAGAAGACAGTTCACTCACAAATATCCACTACTTAGGCTGTAAGTGCCACATGATGGTAGACGTATAACTACCAACTGCAAAATGTTTCACAGTTTAACATATTTCCACATGTTATCCTAATAAAATTTCATAAGAAACCTGTCAAGTACATAAAGCACTTGGTATTATTCTCATTTTACACAAAACTGTTAAAGCAGCAGAACTAGGATTTAAATCTCCAGTATTACTGTTCCACAACTCTTCTGTGCAGCTTTCTGCTAGGGGCCAGCAACAGAGGTACAGGCACTTAGATTGTTCCTCCAAGAATGAGAAAAGACTTAATAGGTGAAAACACTATGGCATTCCAAGAAAACAATGCATACAGAAGTCCAGAAGCAGGAGAATACAATATGTGAAAGGAATGCTAGGTTGGTTCATGTGAGGCAGGTAAGATGAAGTAAGGATAGAGAGAATTTAAAGATTCCCTATGCTTTCGATCTAGGTGTTTAAGTGACTCAGAGCAATAAGAAATCAAATGATTTAGAAGGAAGAGGAAACCAACATGAAACTCTTACAGTATGTTTTGCACTAAACATACATTGCAAAAGAATGACCTCATTTATAGTTAAGTTATAAGAGAGTATATTGTAGGGAGATTAGACTTTGGGAAATCTTCAGCAACTCTAAAAGGTCTAAAAGAAAGGACATATTGCAAAGCAATCCCCACTTCTGATGTGACAACTCTTACAAGTCCTCTACACTACCCCACCTCCAAACATAAACCATGTGCAAAATTACCTTAAATTTTCTTACATTTTATCTAAAAACTTACCGAGTCTTCTGGAGGTCTTTGAATTTTCCCCCAATCCACAGAAGGTCCCTTTTCTTGTAAAAATCTGTGAAATAGCTTCCGAAATCCATCAAGATCTTTTTTAGTGTGCTATAAAAATAGAAGTCCTTATTACAATCATCAGAATGCTTAATATTTAATAAAAACAGATATGAAGGATACATTTAAAACACCCTTAAATGAAATTCCTATACTATTAGAATTTGGAGTAGAGCAGAGATTTTTTCCACACCCCAATTTAAAACTAAAAGGGTAAAAGAAAAAGCTAATAGGAGACACATTTAATGGAATACAAGCTAAAAATCTTCTCTACATCCCAGCAGTATCATATAATTTGAACACCACTTGGTTCAAGAGAAATTAACTGGCGCTCTATATTACTAACCAATGTGTTTTTTTATTTCTAAGGGGAAATTAATCTTTGCCAAAAGGAAAAAAGAAACACAGCTAACCTTAAAACATTAAGTACAAACTGAAATAAATATCTCTCAATTCTGGGAAAGTTCTATAATAGCTGTCAAAGTAGCTTTGGTTCTATTAGAATTGGCTTTTTGGAAAAGGCATTGGAGATATATCATTTACAAACTACCTTCTCATAATTCCCAATAAGAACTAGTACCAATTCTCCACAAATGACATCAAACACAGAGTAAATAAAGTATTTATTTTGTTTAGATTGTTTTAGTGACTTTGGAAATTTCCTAGGCTGAAAAAAAAGAAGACTTAATGGTTTTGCTATGGGCAAAGGCTGAAGACCCTTAATTGTTAAACAATGCTTACTTTTTTTATTATCATTCATCTTGCACTTATTTCCAGCTAGACAATCAGCAACAGCAACAACTAAGTATGTACACAGTTGAAGCAAGAAACACTGTAGAGTCCTTACCTCAAATTCATGTGAGGGTGCTGTGGTAAGTATTTTTTCTAATTCCTTTTTCACAGATAATTCTAGCTCTTGTCGAATGACTTCTTGGAACTGAGAGGCACCATCTTGAGACATTGCTTTGCTAAGATCTGAAAACAAAAATATAAAACCACCAAAGTGAAAAATCAGACAGCCATTCAAACAGTTGGGAAGCTACAATGGATCTATTTCTGGTATTTCAGAAAATGAAAAGGGCTCAATTCTATGGTCATGTGATATTCCAAAAATGTTTTCAGCAGGGTCACTAATTAGGACTACAAATTTGATTGTAGTATACCACAGTGTAACTGGTACTCTAATTAAACATTTTGAGTTTGGTTAAAAAAAAAAAAAAAGGTAAAAGTAAAAAGATTTATCCTGCCTGCAAGTGTGGTGGCGCACTCCTGTAATCCCGGTGGCTCAGAAGGAGGATCTTGAGGTCAAAGCCAGCCTCAGCAAAAGTGAGGCCCTAAGCAACTCAGTGAGACTGTGTCTCTGATTAAAATATAAAATAGAGCTGGGAATGTGGCTTTGTGGTTGAGTGGCCCCAAGTTCAATTTCTGGTACCCCCCAAAAAGAAAAAAGATTTATTTGCATTTGAGCATATGGTTTCATTTCTATTAATGTTACCCTACTAGCCATCAAAACTGGAAAAAGATCAAAACAACTGGAATGACATTAATAAGGGTTTGTTCTGTTTTGTTTTTCTGGTACTGGGGATTGAACCAAGGGATGCTTTCCCACGAGTTACAACCCCAGATCCAGTTTTGTTTTGTTTTGTTTAGGGCCTCGATAAGTTGCTGAGGCTGTCCTTGAACTTGCCATCCTCCTGTCTCAGCCTCTGAGTTGCTGGGATTACAAGCATGCACCACTGCACCTAGCTAATAAGGGCATCTTTTATAGAATATGTCCTTAACAGAAATGCTGCCTCAATAAGAGAGCTGAAGTAGTTTAGCAATTTCACAGAAGCAGGAGACTCCTACCTTCTCCTCTCTAGTCAAGATGAAAAATTTTAAGGAATTCTTCCCATTTTAGAAGTGGAACCCACTCCAGTTTCACATTCCCCACTAAAGAACCACCTCTTGAGAGACACTGGCAATTCTAAGGTGCCTCTATTTCCATGCATCAATATTTTTACTTTAAAAGGAGAAGGGTACAGATATGCCTGCCCCTTTCTGGTCCCCAATTTCAGTCAAGACTTGTCTCATTGTTTTTCTGTGTCAAGACTATCAGAGGGCTGGGGCTGTAGCTTAGTGGCAGAGCACTTGCCTAGCATCCATGAGGCACTTGGTTCGATCCTCAGCACCACATTAAAAAAATAATAAACAAATAAAATAAAGGCATTCTGTCCATCTATAACTAAAAAAAAAAAAAAAAGACTATCAGGGCTTTTGGCATAGCTGGGCAACTCCATGACAGATGGAACTCAAAAAGGCAAAGAAATGCCTGTTATATTAATACAAACAAAAATAGTAGAAAAATACATAAAAAGAAAACACCCCAAGCCCAAATACTTTTTGAGAAAAATGCCTACACAAGTTGTTTTATACACTTTACTATCTCTAGAGTAATCATCCTGTCAACTTCTCATAAAATATAAGGGACAATCCATTTATGATCTACCCCTCCCCATTTCAGCTAGTGATGTCTACAATAGTGGTTAATTTAGCAGAATCATAACTCCATAAGGCTAAAAATTTTGTCCCCTTATACATTCCCACACTATAAATTCTTTCATTTATTATCTAGACAGAAGAAGGAAACATTTACATAGAATTAAAGCCAAAACAATCAGTATTTAAGATATTTTTGAGAGCAGACATTAGTAAGCTACTAATTCCTGGGGTAATTTACTTAAAATAGAGAGCCTCTACCTTCCCCAAATATGTAAAAACATTAACAAATGACATAGTTAACATGGCTCTTGAAAAATATTTTATGTATATTTTTCATCATATTAAAACCAAAGAGAAAAAAATCCAAGGAAATGTGGTGACTGTATACAATTCAACCTTAAAATAGCTGTTTTCTGTGTAACAGAAAATCACAAACATACCAGTAAAATTGCCAACATAACCCAAGAAACTGTGGTTCATAAATAACTTCTCTGGGAGGTAAGAGGCACTATACTTCATGTGTGTTCCATAAACAACCTACAGATATGTTTTGACAAGTAACAATTTGGTTATAATCTGTAAAAACCTATGACAATGGATGAGCACATTTGTATAAGCTATGACTAGTAATTAAAGCTACTACAATATGGGTAAAACTAGAGTTAACGTGACATCACCCATGCATGTTTATCCCTAGGCAGACTTAGTGGTAATTTAAAATTTGTCACATGTTAGTCTCCTACCCGTATGCTCATGTGTATCTGGGATGACTCTTCCTCAGTTCTAAGTCAATTCTCATATTAATATTTGTAAAATAATTTGGAAGAAAAAAATCTAAATACAGAGAAGAAAATTTTCTATATTAAAAAACACATGAATCACTTGAGTCTGGGTCACAGGTCAATTAAAATAAACCAAGAAATAACTATACAATTATTTTTAAACTGTGGGTTTTTTGTTAGACTCAAAGACATCTATAGGCTTGCTGTTTTGTTGCTAAAGCTACAGATGCAGGCCAGCATTAAGTCACATTCCTAAAAAATAGTGATGGAAACATTTAGCTTACTTAAACTCTGGGAATATGCCAGACAAGATAAAACCAAATGTACTGCAAAGTTTAAAAATAACTAAAGTAGCTATTTGAGATTTGTCTAAATGAGGACAGTTAAAAACAACTCTAGAGGCTCCCTGTGCAGGACAATGGCCTAAGGCGAAAATACACAGAACTTACTATATCACTGTCAAGCAAGCTTAAAATGGGTGGCTGAATTTAAAAAAAAAAAAAAAAAAAAAAAAAAAGGCTTTATGACTTTTGCCTATAAATGGATGGATCTGGAGACTATCATGCTAAATGAAACAGCCAATTCCAAAAAAAAAACAAAAGTTGAATGTTCTCTCTGATATGTGGATGCTAACACACAATGGGGGAGGGAGATAGAAGTTCAGTGGATTAAACAAAGAGGAATGAAGGATGGGAAGGGGGATGGGAATAGGAAAGACAGTAGAATGAATCAGCCATAACTTTCCTATGTTCATATATGAATACACCACCAGTGAAACTCCACATCATATATAATCAACCACAAGAATGGTATCCTAATTAGAATATAATCCATTATGTATAATATGTCAAAATACACTCTACTGTTATGTATATCTAAAAGAAATTTTTAAAAAAGAATGACTGGCTGAAAGACTCACATTAATACCATCTGTGATCTTTGCCAACCATAGCAGGTTCAATCTTCAGACACATAAGTCAGGCATGGTGGCATTTGCCTATAATCCCACTGACCTGGATAGCTAAGGCAAGAGAATCCCAATTTCCAGGCCAGCCCAAGAAACTTGGCAAGACCCTGTCACCAAATAAACAACAAAAAGGATTGGGGATGTAGCTCAGCAATAGAGCATCCCTGAGTTCCATCCCCAGTTTTGTTTCTTAAATTTTATTCTCCCCCATCCCATGTAAGGGTGGGGGAGAATAAAATTTAAGAAACATCCCTAACCTTCATTTTTCCCATTTGTTTGATAAGCACCAAATGCATAACAGTTCATTCTTTCTACACTGTTTACAAATAAAATCAGCTTATATAACAACAACAACAAAAAAAAACAAGCATGTCACCTCTTCAATCCCATTCTGTTCCAGTTTCACTCCCCCTGCCCTAGGCAAAGTGCTATTATGAAGTTCTGTTCCTAGTGATTAAAGAATAAGGAAGGTCTTTTAAGGAATAAAGAATATTCAAGAGTAAAGAATAACAAAGAGTGCTTAAGAAACAAGAGGAACTATCTTAAGCACCTGGACACAAACCAGAGAAACCATTTCCCTTTACATCTTTCTTACCCATCCTGCGTTTTTAAAAGTCTGGAATTTCTGGTAGCAAAAAAAAAAAAAAAAAAAAAGACAGAACTTAGAAACTTTCTTGGATTTAACATCTCAGGTTAAACTTCTGGCTACGACAGTTGTTTCCAAGGGAAGGTCAACTAAAGAATGCCCTGAATAATTCAAGATTTCAAACCTCAGAAAATGTTTTTGTCCCTCCTCACTTCCTAGCAAAATATAATTGATTCTCCATGACTGAAGAAAGTGGATTAAAAGCCAAACATTTTATTATCTTAGAATAAATCAAAATATTTTTAGATATGAGAGGGAGCAACTAATCTACCCTCCTCATTTTACAGATGAAGAAACTGAGGCTGAAAATAGATGACTTATGCAAGGTCACAGAGAAGGCTAATGTTGGAGCCCTAAAAGAAAGATTTTTTTTTTTCCTGAGCCCATTCTACCACAGTGAGTAAAAGTACCCTGTTCATTTTTTCCCTTGCTCTGGCTCTAATTTTTGACATAAAATTCCTAAAAACCACTCTCCTCCGGAAGCATTTATAGGAGAATCTCTTCTTATATTCACTTAACAGATCTAACTCCCCATCACATAAAACTGGGTTTACTAGAATTACCTTGGTTGATTTCATCACACTTCAATTTCATATAAAAAAAGAATTGTTTTTACCACCCTTTTCTTACCCTCCCCTACCCCAAATTTCCTAATTCTTCCTTGTTCACAGAACTAAAATTTCAACATCACAGACTTTTTGCTCTCCAACTGCGGGGGTGGGAGTGGGGGAAGACCCAGAAAGAAAAAACTGGAAGAAAGCAAGAGGAGACATTGACATTCAATCTGACAAGTGATTCTTTTTGTTTCTTAATTCATTCCCTGCACTTCAGCAGCTCAGAAGTATACACAATATACTTCTTTTCTCACCCTGACAAGCTAGTTGCAGGATACCGGGTCCATGGAGAAGCCACAGAAAAACACTAAAATCAACAAAAGGTAGTAGAGCCACACTCAGGCCACTTCTCACCACTCATGAGGTCTCATCAGTCCCAAACCTTTCTTGGAAGTCCACACTGAGAGGTACTTGAAGTCAGAGAATTAGAGAGCCAACTTAATCTTAAACCAGGAAATGACTCGTGATTCAAATAAACAACACTT